CTAGAATCCACAGGTCCAGCCTCCATTCTCTCTCTTTCTCCACTCACTAAAAAGAAGGTCTTGTTTTGCTATTTTTTTCAAGGTAAAAAATGCCTTTTAATTCTGTTTGAATGCACAGCAATATTCACAATGAAATAAGAACAACCCTCTAGGGATAAAACAAGGAAGAAGTGGAACCCAAGAGGCAAACAAGAACTGACACAGGGGCAGAGGAAGCATTGCACGTCTCCCTAGGGTTTGGCTCGCATGGTCACGTGGGTCGGGAGAGACCCTCGAGGCCAGGTTAAAAGGCAGGAGGTACGACTGAGGCTTCCGCTGCAGTCACTTCTCAGTGACAGGAGAGACCAGAGACATAACCAATCTTCTATATCTTTTCTGAGTTTTGTTCACTTACTCTTTCAGTTGCTGAGAAGAGGTGTGTTAAAATCTCCAACCCTGACTGTGATGTGTTTTTCTCCCTTTGATCCTATTGATCTTTCTGCCATGAATTTTGAATTTCTGTTATTAGCTGCTTGAGAGCTAGGATTTTTATGCCTTGTTTATGGACTGATCATTTTATCTTTATGAAATATTCCTCTCATTTACTGCTCCCAGGTCTCCACTGTCCCTCTTACAGATTTGAGTTTACCACTTGCATCATTTCTCTTTATCCTGAAGGACTTGCTGTACCACTACTTAGTATATCTACTGAGAAAGAATCCTCCCAGCTTTCATTTATCAGAAAATATCTTTATTTTACCTTTATTTATTTATTTGTTTGTTTTTCATTAAGGTATCATTGATATACAATCTTATGAAGGCAACATTGTGGTTACTACATTCCCCTCTATTATCAAGTCTCCCCCACATACCCCATTATAGTCACTGTCCATCAGCGCAGTAAGATGCTATAGAGTCACTACTTGTAAGATGCTGTAGAGTCACTACTTGGCTTCTCTGTGCTATACTAAAAAGGTCTTTTTTGATAGCTGTATTACCATCAGCATGCTCACGACTCCCGGGTTTATTTCCCCAGCAAGCCCTCTCCTGGGGGCTCCTCTTAGTAAGGTAGTATCGAATTACTCTTGAAAGTATTTCTTGATTATATCATTGGCATCTAAACGCTACCTTGCCCAAAACTAATCTCAAGATTTTCTTCTAGAACCCCTTCCTCCCCATCCTTCCTAGGTCAGCAAAGGGGAACACAAATCTCCCCAGTCTCTTCAGCTGAAACAGTGGGAAGTGTAGTTGACTCTGCCTCCAAAACATCTTGATCTGGCTCCACCCTCCATCTTTTCTGCTGCAGTTATTGCCTAGGACACAGCCATTTCCTGTTTAAGCGGTGCGGTAGCCCAGGGCTGGCCTTCTTGCTTCACTGAGTCTATTAAGGTTTCTCCTAACTTGTGCCTTTGTGTTTTCTGGTCCTGTTGTCTGTGTCTTTTCTCCCCTGGCTCTTGCTAGGACCTTTCTCATTCTTCAAGCCTCCAGTTACATGTCACCTCCTCAGAGAGGCCAGCCCTGACCAATCTCTTTAAATAGTTCTTCCCCTCTGTTTTTCTCTCATTCATTTCCTTCTAAGTATTTCCTGTTGTAAATTATTTTTGTGTATTATCTTATTTTCTTTCTCCACCACTGTCAAAGAGAAATCACACCAAGCAAGTTAAACAGGCAAGGGGAAAACGTTACTCAGGCAGGACTACTGAAATAGAGGGCAGAGGGTGACCTCAACACTGCTGAAACAAAAAGCAGAAGAGTTTGTCTGTAAACGGTGGGGTGAGCTAGTGGGAGTAGTGGGGAGGTTAATCAATATGATTAGGCCATCTGTGTTCACTAATTGGTATTTATCGAAGTTTGGCTCCTATTCTGCTTCTTAATCTAGGGCCTAGTACAGTTCCTAGCACACATGTTCTTGACCAGTTTTGATAAATGAGCACATGGATGACTATGCTGTACTGGAACACTTACCTGTGCTTTCTAGGCCATTCAATACCCCTGGTTCTCAGTGTCCTATAAGATTGGAATATACTCTATATCTTATAGATTGTTGCTAAAGCTAAATGCGATAATGTATATAAAAGCATAAAGAATAGGGTTTCCATAAGTAGAATGTTTCCTTTCCCAGATAGACAAAGTTCTTAAAATGATATACTGTTTTAATCACTTTTTTCTTTGCTTTGACTGTTGGGAACCTCATTTGTGTTATCCAGACACAAATGCTATTACACATACATTTGTATTCTACCTACATGTTATTTACTTCCAGCTTTATTAAGATAAAATTGACATATAACTTGTGTAAGTTTAAGGTATACAATGTGTTGATTTGATATGCTTAATATATTGCAAAATGATTACCACCCTAGTGTTAGCTAACATCTCCATCACATCACATAATTACCATTTCTGAAGTCAAGAGATGAATGGGTAAGAATAAATGGACTATTATTTTGCCATGAGAAAGAAGGGAATCCTGTCATTTGGTACAACATGGATGGAGCTTGAGGGCGTCGTGCTAAGTGAGCTAAGTCAGACAAAGATAATGTACAATATCATTTATATGTGGAATCTGAAAAAGCCTAGCTCATAGAAACAGGGTGGAATGGTGATATTCAGGGGCTGGGTGCTGGGGTGTGTGGAAAGATGTTAGTCAAAGGGTACAACTTCCAGTTATAGAATGAGTAAGTTTTGGAGATCTACAAACATATTCTTAAATGTGATCAAACACGATAAAATGGTGATTACTCATGACAAATGTGAGTGGAAGTAGCACAGCTTTAAACCTGAGACGTCCAAACAGAAGTGATTGGATCATGTGTCATCATATCCTTTATTGGCAGAAGTCAGTGAATCACAATGAAAAAGGTGTATGTACTGCCATGTCAGGAAGGTTCTGAGGGTTTGTTGGTCACGAGTAGGTTGTTTAGAGTCCCTTCACATCAGAGCTGTGTCTAAACCAGCAATATAAACTCAAGCTTAAAGCATTACTGTTTAACAATCTGTGATTGTAAGACGCAAGTGCCTACTTTTGCTTTCACTCTTTAGGCAATGATCTTGTCCTTGGTTTGTATAGGAGGACACGGCAGCATTGCTCTGGCTGGACAATGCTCAGGCTCCATCCAGACCCTCCCCTGGAGCAGGTCTTCAATTTGTACTTCAGAATTGAGTTCAAATTCAGAATGCAAAACCAAACCCGTCCAATGGGCCAGGCATTCTATATCAGACTTTTCCCACCTGTATGTAATGAGTGTGAGGAGCTAAAAATACATTTATCCCTAAAACCAGGAACTACAAGTCCTCTTTAATGTATTCTTTTGATTTTCCTGACCTAAGATTAGTTACAAACTAAAGGACTGTTAAATTGATCTTGGGGAATATAAAAATTCCTTGTCTGTCACATAATGGAAACTCAAAAAGTTAAACACAGAATTATTATATGATCAGTCAATTGCACTTCTAGGTGTATATCCCAAAAGGGATAAAAGCCGAGACTACACATACATGCACACCAGTGCCTGTAGTAGCATTATTCACAACAGCAAAGAGGTGGAAACAATTCAAATCTGTAAAAATAGATAAATAAAAAGTGGTATGTGTATATACATAATGTAATATTATTTAATCATAAAAAGCAATGAAATTCTGATGTGTACTATGACATGCAAAAAATCTAAAAATTTGATCATTGAAATAAACTAGACTAAAAAGGAAAAATATTGTATGGTTCCATGTACATGAGACAGCTAGAATAGGCAATTCAGAGACAGAAAGTAGAATGGAGGTCACCAGGGGCTGAGGAAAGCAGAAACTGGATAGTTACTGTTTAATGGAAGAATTTCTGTTTGGGATGATGAAAAATTCTGGAAATGGATTGTGGTGATATTTGCACAACACTGTGCATGTTCTTCATGTCATTGAATTTTGTATACTTACAAGTGGTTAGAATGGTAAATTTATGTCTTTTTTTGTGATGAGAAAAAAATTAAAAATAATTACTCCTTTGTAGTGTAGATACTCCATTCATCATGAGATTAAATTTCTTCCAGATTGGGTGAGTTGCATAGTGTGGTGAAAAAATCTCCAGGCATGAATTCAGAAGACTTTTTTTTTTTTCTCTGGTCTCAGCTCGGTCACTTACTAGTGACAGAAATACCAGCGAGTCACTTAGGTCCTTCGTACCTTAGTTTCATTCAGTTGCAGTATCCATCAGCATTGTTTTAGGGACTAAAATTAAAAGGAAATAATGAATCTAAAGTGCTTCGTAAACTCCAACAATTATATAAGGGGATGGGGGCAACTTTTATTATATATTCCTTTAAGAAACTTAGTGATACATGGTGGATCTGTGGCATCTTGTTGCATTGATGAACAGTGACTGCATTGGGGTGGGAAAAAGCACACACAAAGAAAGAAGCTTAGTGATAATCTTAATAACTGAAATGCACTCACTAATTTGTATGTAAATACCCAAAAATATTAAGTTATTATTACATCAGTCAAAGTGGCCTTAAAATTTTTTTCTTTATGTATTGAGTCATAAATTGTTAGAATGAAAATAACATGGTGAATTTTTGAGGAGACCACATTTTTATTTACCACTCTGAATGGGTCATTAAACCTTTCCAATTATATTATTTCTATACCTTTTGTTCATTGTTTAGTCTCATGGTATGGACCTTATGTATTTTGTTCATTATTTACCCTCACTGTATGGACCTTAATAAGGGATAACTATATTATATCTTATCTGGAAAACAATTTTTATTCACATTTAATTATAAGTATTAAAAAATATTTTTTTTGCTACCTGCTCTTATCTTCCATTCCAATCCATACAAACCATTACCATTATCTACATTATCAGACATAATAATAGTTGTATATTATCTTATAAAGCCCTTTGGTTACCTATTACATTGAAAAATAGTATTTAAAATGTGACATGTTTTTTGTATAACATAAGTTAATACCAAAATTAATGTGGTTGAAACAAATGTCAACAAATTTTTTGTTTCTCTCCTCAGTGGTTATGTCTTTGACTATGATTACTACAGAGAAGATTTCTACAATCGGTATGTAAAATTTTCATCCTTGTTTACCTGTGATTTAAGTTAGTTTTTAACTATTTTGCACATTTCACTCACAGGTATTGACTGACATGTTTACAATATTTTATAGGAAAAAGAAAATGCTTTGTTAAGTCCCAAATATTTTAATGTAGACAGATTTTCCTATATTTTCATTGTACTTACTGATATATTGTACATCTTAGACTTTTAGGACTTCAAAGGTACTAACACCTAATTTTGGTCTCTAATATTTGGGTAAGATTTTAAAGATTTAATTAACCAGTATTTTTTTCCAAGTCTATTGTTGACTTAGAATTCTTCAAGACTGAAGAATTTTAGAACATGACTCCAACCTTCTAAAACACTTCATCTTCTTTCATATGACACATTGAAAATGCTGTGTTGGCCAGATCCAGTAAAAATTATAGGCAGTTCTTGCTCTGCATGGCAGTGTGAAAGGAAACCATGCAAGGTAATATTAATAATCAGTGGGAAAAATTGGATTTTCCATCACCTTTAGAAATGTGTGTCAAAAATTAAAATCTCTCTTACCATCAGGTATAAATACATAAGGAAACACACTAAGACTAATATTTATTTAGTATGCCATAATCTAAAACAGTAAAAATATTGAGAATTAATATATTATAGTTCCTTGTGAAAAAGACTTATCCAAAGTAGTTGGGTGCTTACTTTCATCTCATATAACTTTTTCGGAACAAGCACCTCTCATACCTTGGTGAGCTATCATACTTCTTTCTAAGGCTGGATCAACTTCGACATTTATCAAAGCTGTGGACCATTTCCGAGAGTTCTTCAGTGTGTTGTTCCTGTGCCACCATCACTTCTAAGTCACTGTCATTCCTTTCATCACATTGCAACTATTTTCCTCATTCCTGTCAATATAGTTGCTTTTACTCATTACCTCTGGCTCCGTATCTGGAGTCTCTCAGATGGAAGAGTGCCAAGGATGGATTTCACCTGTGATTCCATCACATTTAATTTTGATTTCACTTTCAGTGTTATAGCTCTTCGATTGTTTGCTGCACTTCATCTTTGTTGACCAGTTCCTCTTTTGGTTATCCATTTGGTAAAATCCACAAGGATTTATCACTGGGAGACACGGAGACAGTACAAGTACACATGTGCTGTCTGTGTGTGAACTGAATAACAGATGCACAGCTACCATCACACACTAGGAAAGAAGTGAGGTGACTCATCACTGATCACAATACACACCTGTCATTTGCAAAATGATTTGTGGACTGAAAAACTAGCAGCAAAGTTTGGACCTTAGGAAGTTACTCACAGTTAATATATTGTGGTAACTGAAGTTTGGTATGTGCTGTTGGGAGACAGATGTTATTTAACTAAGCATTGGTAATTGAAATTCAAAGATATATAAATTGAGGAACAACTACATAGATAAATAATGGACAAAAAAATGAGGTAAATATCTTATAAGCCTTTAATTATATTTTCTATTCAAACAAAAAAGGTCCCCAAAGTATAAAAATGCAAACTGGAAAAAACAGTTGGCAATAGACATTTTAAAAAGGGGAAAAAATTTTGTGACCCCTTGAAAGGGGCTTATTTACTTTGCTCCAGCCCCATAGGTCTTTTTCAGTTCCACAAGAGCATCATGTTCTTCCTGCCTCAGGACCTTCCTTTGTGTTGCTGTTCCCTCTCCTCAGACCTCCCTCCCCCATCTAGTTAACTGGACTTTACCCTTCAAAACTCAGCATGAACACTGCTCTCAGACTAAATTAGGTTCCTCTGTTCCCAGTACTGTTCCTTCACAGCTCTTCTCCTAGTTTTTATTGCTCCATTTTTTTCTTTGATGACTGTGACTGACTACATCAGCCTGCCTTCCTCCACTAGGGCAGGACAGATGTTCAGTTTTGCTCATTGCTGTGTCCCCAGGCACTCTCATTAAGTCCCACATTTAATGGATGCTCGATTTGTGTATTAATTCATCCCCTCAGATTTAGAGAGATTTGGTTTTCCCAAGATCACAGTTAATTAGTGACAATACTACAATCGTAACCTATTCATTGGGTTCAATAACCAACTGTGAGTTTGCAGAACAGGCGGAGCAGTATCAGTCTGTGGAGTTAAAGAAAATCAGCTGCCTTACCTAAATGGAAATCAGACCCACGACCATCCCTTCATTACCACTATGTTCAAGCCACTGAGTTGAGCAAGGTATTTCCCTAGTTATGCCTTATGATCAAAGATGAATTTTTAAGGATAGTTTTCTCAAATCACTTTTATAATTTGAACAAACTATAATATTTTGTTTTAAATATAAACACCTTGTAATAACTTGTCCTAAAAATGGTGTGAGAATCTGGCAGCATTAAAATAATCCCATTTACTACTAAGATAACCTGTAGAGAGCCATTATACACTCTGAAAACTTTGTTTTCTATTGTATTTTCTATTATAGCTTTCTTTTTGCGGATGCAAAACGCTGGCCTAATGGCTATGAATACCGTTTTTGGTTGATATACATTGCATTTTAGTCTGTCAGCATGAAACTATTTTAGTACTGGAATCACATAAGGATTTTCTATCGTGTGACTTCCTTCGACATTTAAATAATCTCTCCCTAAAATGGAGTTGGGTCTACATGGCAGGAAACCCAAGTTTTGGTAACTAACCTTGTAACTTTGAGGAAGGAAGTCAGGTTTTCAGTTTTCTCATCTTTAAAAGGAAGCGAAGATCTGCATTTTACTGTGTATAAATTACAGCTCAATAAAATCAGTGGTAGATGATAGATGGATGGTTGTATCTTACCTACCAAAGAACAGGAGCCTTAAACAGGTAATTAATTATAGAGCCTGAAGCTTTCAGATGACTCTTCACTACACAAGAAAGCTAACTCTGAACAATTTCCCAAATCATTTATTTGTTTTATATGAAATCTGTTTGGCTTATAAGTGTGTGAAAGATCAGTATGGTTGTATTGCTAACAGATTGTCTGAGCAATCTGTGTTGTCATTAGTCTATTTTCCATTTTTTGCACTTGTCTAAGAAAGACAGCATTTGCCACTAGTGATGCGGTTGGGAGTTCCCTGTGAACCAGATTCCCATGAAAGGGAAACAGAATGTGGGGCCGGACAAGGCAAAGAGCTTACTAAGTCAGTGCTAATGATTTTATCCATAGTGATTCCTTATAAGTTACACTCTTTATTTATAGTTAAGTTTTTCTCTTTTTACTAGATGTGCAAACTTGGGCAAGTTGTTTAATACCATAACACCTGTTGTCTCACTCATGAACTGAGCATGAAATTAATTCATGCCCCATAAGATTGTTCTGAGGATTTAATGCAGTAACGTATGTATAATGATCAGCATTATGCCTGGCATATTTTTAATGCTTAATCAATATTAGCTACTAATAAAAGTTAATAGTAACCATTAACAGTGATGGTTAATGTGTTTTTTATACTGACGTTCATATAGCAGTGTCTCTGGCTGAAAAATAAACTGGTTGGTCAGCTGACCTTCCATAACAGTCCATTGTGACACATCTAGATTATTCTGTTTTTATTGCTCTCACTTCTGCTCAGTGCATTCCAGCTGCCGCTGAACATACTTAACTGCACAAAAAGAGCACTCCACTGTTTAATGCCAGGCTGATTTATTTTTGGTGGGGAAAACAGAAATCACATAGTTATATTTAATAGAGGTAATTGTATGTAAAAACTTTCTAACTGGGTATTAAGGCGCTGAAAAAGGAGAAGGAAAATAAAACGGTATAATGGAATTAGCAGCTACAGAAGGCAGCCAACACCTCAAGGGCTGGGGAAACAGAGGAAGAGGTTGGGATTATCAAAATTTATAGTCGGAAAGGGAAATTGAGTGTTGGAGCTGTGAGTAGGAAGTTCTACTCACTGAGAGCTGCTGGATCTGAGCCATCGAGGCACCTGTGTGCTGGAACCCAGACCTTTGTGGGGGGTGTGCAGACACTGTTAGGAAAGTGTTGCAAAACTACTCAACAGGACTCAGCAACTCCTGCATATTGTTGATGCCAGCATGAAGAAATAAGGCTGGAGTAGTGCTGACAAGAACAGGAAGCCAAACAGGAAGGGTCCAGTCCTGTCTTCCTGCTCCAATCTTGTGGTCTCCCTCACAGTCCTTTACTGGCTGAGCCTAGCAAGAGGTCCAGCTGGCCCCCACAGAATTAGGGTGTGCAGCATCCCTACCCCAGCTGTGGCTAAAGGTGGGTCTGAAGCTGAAATGAAATAGCTTAGGAACCGACATACATCCCCATCATGTTAGTATCTGCTCTGTGCCAGGTTTGGGGGTTCTAATGTAATTGGGGATTTTGAACCCTTAGATAGATTTAGCTTAGAAAACTTCTTTACACAAAATTCCATCTTACTGTGATTGTTTTGATGCTTCGGCCTCAGCAGTAACTTTCCAGAAGACTAATTTCATGCCTATCCTTGGTTTCACACATCATGAAGAGTATCACAAAATAATAGACTGCAGTGGGTATTCCAAACTTTCATCTTTTTATTTTACACAAAGCACCACCCAATAATTTATAACATTCAATGGTGTTTTCTTTTAAAAGGTCAAGTATGACTCTAAATAAAGGACATTACATGTTATTAAAACTAATCTTAAGTATACTCTTCCTCCAAGTAAGATAAAAGGATATGTATACCTAAAATTGCATTGAATCTCCCCCAGGGAATGTTTTCAATTTCTGATATATTAGCAATTTAATCCAACCTTTTTTCAATAGTTTCAGGAAGAGCCCTGAGCAGCTTATAACCTTCAGTAATGAGTAAACTTCTGTTAATAGAGAAAGATATGTGAAGAGTGCTTTACCATGTAGAAAAAAATATACAGATACATATTAAGTGATTCAAAATGGGCATTTTTCAACTCTGGAGCCATTTTGACCTTGTGTAGATTAACAGAAGAGAAGCTGCTAGAGTTGCAGTTAATGAAAAAAGTAAGTCAAGGTGCAGTGGTTTCAGATCATTGATTACAGAGCACAGTATATATATTCACGAATATTGGAAAAACGTATTAGCAAAAGACAATGTCTGTTTCATTATGCAAATTTAAATTACCATCTGGTAGAATGGTATTCAACTTAAAACATTTGGAAATAACAGCATGGTATCATTGACAAAGGGTATGAATTGGAGTCAGAAGACATAAATTTCAGACCTAGCTGTGCATGTGTTTACTGGTAAAACTTGGGCAAGTCATTTCATTCCTTTGTCACAAGTTTCTTTGATGGGCAAAACTGACTTAACAATCCTCACATTACAGAATTATAAGAACTAAATGAGAAAATCATTTTATTGATTTATAAGCTCACAATTCCTATTTAAATATATTAACTTCTTAATTACCCAAAGCTATATGCAGAATATAGCAGATAGCAAAGTTGTAGAAATGAAAGGATTATGATAAGGTCAAAATATTGCAAAAACATTAGTTCAAGATTTCAACTAGCATGTCTTTAAAAGCATGTTCAAGGACTTGAGAAATGTTTTTAATATAAACTAAAAAGAATTAGCCAGACTGTATCACTGTACATATATTTTGTTTTCAATTATGTTAAATTTATGATAATTGTGGAATAAAGATTAGAGAATGATAGTAGCTGTTTTACAGTGAGATTGGGAGTTGTATTTTTGCATGTGTTTGTCTAAAATGTTGCTTTATTATTGTTAAGTTTAAAAAGAACAAGCCTTTAATAAAAACAAGCATTCGAAATTATATGAATTTTATGTCAGTTTGCCATTAAATTGCCTTTATCTAAAAGCAGCTACTTTTTAAAATTAATATGCTTATTCTTCCTAGAGAAAACTTTTGCCTATTTTTATCAAGTAAATTGATACTAAAATTATTTACCACTTTTGAGCTTTTGCTAGGTAGTAAAATTAATTATCTCAGATATTATTAAGGCAAACAAAATATCAAACAAGTGGGCACATGAAAAGTAAAAATGTTTATTAAAAAGAAAGTTAAACCCTCAAATTTCCTCAATGGGTTGCTCTTATTAAAATCTGGCCACATTTATTTTACTTACTGCTTGAGAGTAGGTCTTTTAAAGTACTTGTTTTAAAATAGACCTTGGGGAAGGGAGATATATTTGGCTTCATTATAAACTATTATCTATTTGCCAGTAAATGTTAGGGGGAAAACAGTATTCTTGGGTGTTTTAGAGATTTTATTTTTAAAAAGGCCTTGGGGAAGGAAAGATTATGCATTTGGCTTCATTATAAATCAATATCTATTTGACCAGTAAATATCAGGGGGAAAACAGTATTCTGACTAAGCAACTAGAGAAAATTAAGAACGATTAAAGACAAGAAGAGGGGATATAACTCTAAAAATGAAAGGAACAAGACAATAAGAGAAAGGAAGAAACTTTAAGCTTTTAAAAACTTTGAGATTTAGATTCACTTTATTTCTATTGGATTAAAATCTTTATTGCTAGTCTGTAGTCCTTTCCCTCAACACTGTTTTTGCCAATCTAATACTCTGTAAAGGCAAAATTTCTCTGATTTGCTATAGACAGAATTCTGATGAGAAAACCAATGCTTGTGTCTCCTTCATGGGCTGCCTCTACATTAAAAGAACCCCTGCATCCCATTTTACAATCCCAGAAAACCTGCCCCGCTTTCCGTCCTCAACTTGTTATGTTTTTACACATTAGGACGATAGCCAGTCTTCCTTCCTTTTATAAACTCAAGTATGCCCACTGAAAATTAAGAAACTCCCCCAACTCCATTAAATGTCAAATTTACATGTAAGTGTCAAAAATTATGCTTTCATGTTATGTGCCCATACTTCTCCTTACTTTTGTTTTGTAAATTACACGTCACTTTTAAAAACTGAAGTTATCATGCTACATATCTTCCCATCAGAGTAGCAGAAAGAACTGTAAAACCTTAACCTGATTCTTTGGTAAGGGAGGAGGCATCTCCCTTTGAAGCAGCTCTCCAAAATATTCAGAGAACAAGGGCTACACTCTATAGGAAATGACAACAATGGATACAACACATGCTGAGTGTGTTACTAAAATGTATGCCACATACTAAAATTATGTCACAAATACAATGAAAAAATGCAGCTCTCTTTTCTCAACATGATCAGGCCTGGCCAACACTGGAGGCTCTGTAAACCTTGGCTGGGGGGAAGCAATAGAAACACTGATAAACATTTCAGTTCTCCATAAATATTGCTGAATAGCGCTGTAATTGAAGTACCAATGAATATGGTGGCTTTACTTGGCCTGTATTTTGATTACAGCATTCTTCCATAATTATATATTTTAGTTGTGCTTAGAAATTTTCTTAACCCAATTTATAGATTAGCTTATTTAATGAACCTAAATTGTTCTTTCATGGCCTGGGGAAGTAGTCCCTCCAAAAGAGCTTGCCTTTCATTTCTAGCAGCAACTTCTACCCTGGAAGAGATGAGTCAATTGCCATATTTTCTTTTCCCTCAATAGCTTTGGGTGTTGTAGCTCATGAAAAGTACTTTCATATTTTGTTTCACTGACTTAAGGTGCTCTGTGAATTCAACTTATAAATAACTAATGTAGACCTTGTTTTGTGATTGAAATGAGGGGCAGGTTTAGTTGACCCTTTTGATTTCCCAGCCCCTTGTGATACGGATGATACTCATGACCCTCTTCAGCCTCACCTCGCCTGTAATCTTTGAAGCAAACTATAATGTGTTGACATCCATGACCCCTTCTTTGCTAGCAGTTCTTCAGCTGTAATGGACTTTGCTTATTCACAGAGGATGGCACCTCTCTTGAACTCTGTCTCATTTCATTTCTTTGCATTTCCAGACACCTCTTAGTTTTTCCCCAGCATGTTTTCAAATCGTTTTTGAACACTTTAGCTCTGTACTATAAAAGACATTACTAGTACCAAGTTCTGCTTTAAATGTGGGCTGTATATTACTTTTTTCCCCCATAGTGCCATAGTTTTAAATGTTCTGAATGAATATTTGGAAATCAGCCTATCTTAATTTTTATTACATTTCATTTATTATTTTCTGAAAAGGGATTATCACATTTTCATCTGTATGCATAAATAAGATGTAATTTTATGAAATAACTTCTATAGAAGTTATTTTATTTTTCCTGTTCTAGTTTTCTCAGTTCTGACATTCATAATAGATTATTTTTATTGATGGTTTTGAGGCAATTATGGGAAAATAATCCATATAATAGTGTCACAGTAAAATATGTATCAATCATCATTCTAAGTCAATAATGGTGTTCTCTTTATAGTGAATAACATAAAAACACATCTGGCTCACTGATAGTTTTTAAAATAAATGAGTAAATATATTCTCAGATCTTTTCTCTGACCTTTTAAGCTTCTCAAATGTGCCAAGTCACACAAAAATTTGTTGTTTATGTGTACACTGTATAAGTAAGGTGAAGGTTTTAAATCTATGAATTACCTATTTATATAAAGGAGTAAATACTCATACTTTTCTTTCTTTCATTGTTTAATGGGAATGCATTGACTGTGGTGAACATCATTTTTCACTTTCTAGCAAAAGATTCTAGGAGTTTTATTGGTACACATTTTTGTTAGAGAAAATTTCAATAGCTAACTATACAAATATCTCGTCTCAATTTGCACATATAGCAAATGGTCAGAATAATGAAAAGATATCCTGATAGATATTTCCCCCAGTATTTTAGTCAACAAAGTTTTGTCCTTTTTCTAGCACCCATTCAAACTTTGTCCCATTTTTCTACAGTGAAAAACTTTCATTACTTAAAAAGTCCTTAGAGACAGGACTGGACTGGTTTGTTTCTCATAGTATGCTTTCTTTAAGCTAGTCTACTTGCAATTTTTTTTTCCTTCTGAGCTATTTTCTGATGGAACAAGAATTTGCTTTGCTTTGTTCCTGATTCTGCATGATCTTTTCCTCTTTTCAAACTAATGTGCTAATAAGTGTTGACGTGCAAGAGGAAGATTTCTGTTCCTAAGAAGGGTAAATCTGTTAAACCAAGCAAAGAAATAACACCTGGCAACGAAGGTCAGCATGATTTCAACAAATGGCATGGTACTATTGGAACAAAGCTCCTTGTCCTTTCATACTTTAAAAATCAGTTCATAGTGGAGGATCAGAATGCACAGTCTAGTTAGTATCCTATTTCTTTAGTGAAAAATGAATCTTCTAGTCAATAACTGTGTGAGAATAACAATAACAAAAACAGTTATTGACGTTCTCTACAATGTCATTCTCTTAATCATTTCATACATTTGATAGAACATGTAGGCATAAACCAACTCTCAGCCACATTTGTGTTTTACCAAGGTTATTTGATTACCATGGGCGTGTGCCTCCGCCTCCCCGCGCAGTAATTCCACTGAAGCGCCCCAGAGTGGCTGTAACGACGACTCGCAGAGGAAAAGGAGTCTTTTCCATGAAAGGGGGATCAAGATCTACTGTCAGTGGGTCTTCTTCATCAGGCTCTAAATGTAAGTAATCTTCCTTGCTTTACCTCCCTCTAAAGAAGGATGAGATATTTATCATTGCATAAATGCCCATATTCAATAAATTAATCAATAATTACAGTGACTGCTATGTTCAAACTTTAGAGAATTATAAAATAAATGAGAAATGGTCTCTGTTTGCCACACACTATGTTGCAGTAGGGAAGGCAGACACAACCATAACTAACAAAACCCAGGGCCATTTGAAAACTCTTTTATCAGACGAATAACAGGTTCTTGGCCAACCTAGCTTATAACATATTAAAGAACTATAACATGTTGCACATTTTTTAAGTTTTTTTTAAATTAAGGTATCATTGATACCAACCTTATGAAGATTTCACATGAGCAACACTGTGGTTTCAACATTCACCCATATTATCAACCTATTTAGGGAAGAAAAAATTTCACTTCAAAAGAGAGTGCATGTACTATCTTTTCAAGGAAACACTATGCAAAATTAGTTTATGATTTGAATATTTGAACAGTGGGATAATTAAATAAGCAAACTACATAGTAGAGATGTTAAAAGTGTAATATACTAGTCTCAATCATGAGAGTTACATGTTTGAAAACGTATTTTATGTCATAAAAATAAAATATTTACATAAATTCACATTAATTAGTAAAAAGTAGAGATACAAACTTCCCAACTAAACACACTCTAAATACTTATATACGTGTATTCAGAAAAACTCTGTTTTGTTATTAGAATATTACTCCTAAGGAAAGAATAGCAAAATTTCTTGCATTCCTTGAGATTACATTCTAGCGGAGAAGAAACAGAAAATAGGCAAACAAATTAAAATATGAGAAATCACACAGTGGGTCACAACTGTGTCAAAGAATAAAGCAGAAAAAAGAGGAAATTGAGAGTGCTGTATTTCATAGGATAGCATAGACTATACCTTTCTATAGGTGGCATTTGAGCAGAGACGTATGGAAGTATGAGAGGGACAGAGTGAGCTCGAAAGCTCTCCGGGGCAGAACATTCTGGGCAGAGGGAATGGTCAGGACAGAGACATTACATTGTCATTAGTCAGAGAACAACAAGGAAACCAGAATGACCATCGCAGAGTGGGGGAGGGGAAATACGGCTGGAAATTACGTCAGAGAGGTGATGGAGGTCGGTTCCAGCAGTTTGGTAGCCCCCACGCTGTAGGGACTTTGTAGTTACTTTGCATGCCAGCCTTTTCAGACAAGTAAGGCAAACATTGTTACCCAATTTTATTGATAAGTAAACAGAGAAACAGTAAAGCCCAGACTAGAACCCATGTCTCTTCATTCCCATCCCCATATGCTATCTACTGTAGAACATTGCCTTTTGCCTTAGTATCATCAGAAATAATAAGAAAGAACACTGTCAAAATACTTTGTTTTTACATGAGAATGTGTAAAAAATAGTTACTGGAGCACTGATGTTTTTGGTAATTGACTAAAGTTTGGTGTGCTCAGAATTGGATTTAGCTAATAATCCAAATAGCAAATTAAATCAATTTACAGTTCCCCATGTACTTATTTGTCCATTTACCTATTCTATGGATAAATATGAATTCCCTTTTTGAGTCTTGGTAATAAAAGAAAATGAGTTTCTGCAGCAGTTTCTAAAATGAGTCTGATATGCTCTCGGGTTATTGTCAAAAATGATGAAAATTCCTGAATTTGGTACTTGCTGTGGAAAATAAAACATTGAATTGCCGCTAGGTTTATGGGAGACTTTCTTACCATGGAAATTTAATTTCAAATAGAAATATTGTAAGTACCTGTGGATTCCTTGCCCTGTGGTCACTTTTAAAACACCTTTTCTCAATGAGAATATTACTGGCATTTTGGCCATGGTAGTTTACACTATATGAGTACTCTGAGCTTTGCAGAACTGTTAGCATTCCTGACCCCCCAAACCCTAAATGCCAGTAGCACTTCTCAGTCTTTGTAACAACAATATGTACTCTTACACATTTCTAAATCTTCCCTAAGAAGGTGGCACCACCCTGGTTTAGAACCATTGGTCTGTGGCCATTTCTAGGACTCAATCTCTTGATATATCCCAATGTTGTAGAGAAGAGTAGCAATTTCTTGAGCTTATTTTGAGGTAAACATCTTAATATTTAAATGGTTATGTTTGTTTTGGTCTTTTTATTTTTTTTTCTAGTTTTCTTGGATCATAAGAATGGGTATTATAAAAACCTTTTTGAGGATCTTATTAAAAATTTCTCTTAGTTCCATAATAATTGTATTTTCTAAATGGAAAATAGAAAATATTTTCTGCTTTTAGTATAGAAATATTTGAGTGTTTTACCTTTTTGATTGGATTACCCACACTTCTATAGAATAAATGTGTATCTATAGATAATAATGTATTATCTATAGATAATGTATATTATCCACTTTTCTAACACTTGCTCTTTTGCAGAAAATTGAGATGTCAAATTCTAAAAGTGATTATTTAAAATCCTCCACCATCATAGTGACTTAATGGAGTTTGTCTTTTCTTAAGGTTTTGTTTTATATCCCACATTACTTGAATGGTTTTCTATAATGCTTTATAATAACAGGAGAATGAGTAACAGCTAATATTTTCTTGGTGTTCACTCTGTAACAGCTATTGTTTAAAACACATATTAATGTGTATTAATTTACATATGTTAATTCATTATATATATTAATTCATTTATTCCTCATAACTGCCCAATATGTGAAATATTATTATTTCTGTTTTACATATGTGGAATGAGGCATAAAAAGTTAAGTAATATCCCTAAAATCACAGAGCTATTAAATTGGAGAATTGCAATTTTTACATTTATATATTTTCACTATTTTTAGCCTTGATTTCTACTTCGTCTGATACTTTGATCCTTTGATCCTCCAGTATAAGCTTTTCTTCTGGATTGCACTTCCCTAATATATCCATTTATTTGGGGCCTTTCTTTGTGTATTAGTTGCTCAGGGCAGCTATAAATTAAATTATCACAAAGTGAGCAGTTTAAAACAACAGTCATTGGAAGCTGGGAGTCTGATATTAAGCTGTCAGCAGAGCTAGGCTGCCTCTGGAAGCTCTAGGAGACAGTCATTTCCATGCCTCTCTCTCGTGTCTGGTATACTGGAAATTCTTGGCACTCCTCGGTACAGATGTGCCACTGCAGCGTCTGCCTTCATTGTCACATGGTGTTCTCCCCTGTGTCTTTGTGTCCAAGTCTCTTCTCCTCTACCTGTGAGGACATTAATCATATTGGATTAGGGTTCATTCTAATGACCTCATCTTGATTACATCCACAAAGATCTATTTCCAAATAAGGTCACATTCATAGGTAATTAGGATTAGGACTTCAGTGTATCTTTTGGGGGAACATATTTCAACCCATAATACTATCACTTTATTTTTGTATATTTCCTAAAAACAGCATATGTACAAAAATATCTGTATTTTATTTATGAAAGTCTTTGTTTTTAACAGAGAAATTTAATTTTTATACTTGCTTGATTAATATACCAAGTTATATTAATATAATATTATTCAAATGTTTAATTTACTGTTTCCTCTTTTTTTCCTTTTCTTACCTTTCCTTAATGAATTTTTTTTAATTCCCATCTTTTTACTGCAACTGCCTTAAATTGGGTATTCCATTAGGCCTCTCTATTTCATTAGTGGCTATATTAATATATTAATCAGTTATAGATGAATCTATACTAATATTTTCAAATCAAGCAGTAGCTACTCTAACTTCTATCAAAGATATGAACTTCAGAAAGCTTTTACTTCATCATTGCCCCTACACACCTTATCTCCCCAACACCCCAGTGAAAAAGCTCAGGTTTTATACATAAACATTAGAGTTTTAGTTCCCAGCTTCTGTTATATATTTAGATATCACATATCTTTTCTTTTTCAAATATTCTGTACCTAGTGCTTATTTGCTAACTCCCATTGTCTGTCATCATGATTACCTATTAGGACTTAATTTAAAATTTTTAATATTTATTATTTACATCTGCTGTCCTTTAATTCTTAGTTTTTAGATTGCTTCTAAAATAATTTCCTTGGAAAATTAATAACAATTTCTGAATCTATATCTGTATTTTTTCCCTCACATATGCATATTTTGACTTGATCTAGAATTATTCAATTGTATTTCTTTTTCCTTCGATATCCTAAGTACTTTGTTCTAATATCTGAACACTTCTAGTATTCCAGACAAGCACTGATGTTTGTATCATTTATTATTCTTTATTAATAGTCTCTTCTCTCAGAAACATATAGAACTTCCATTTTATTTTTAAGAGCTCAGAAATCTTAGCAAGACATGTAGAAGTATGGCTTTTATTAGTTTTCCTTTGAACTTTATAAGCCCTTTGAAAATGGAGATTTTAGTCTTACTTATGTGTACTAAATATAAAATTTCTCCATGTCTCATGTTTTTCCCTTTTGACATATATTTGCATATTAGGGTCTAAGTTCTGTCCTCTTTTCCTTTTACCTTTTTCTCCTATTTTTGCTCTTTATTGTGGAATAGTCTTTTACAACATTTTTTCCTAAAACATTAATTTGTCTTTCAGCAATTTCACCATGGATCTTTCTTGACTTATGATGGGATTACATCCCGATAAACCCAACATAAGTTGAAAATATCATAAGCTGAAACCATATTTAATACACCCAGCCTACTGAACATCAGAGCTTAGCCTAGCCTATCTTAAACATGCTCAGAACACTTACATTAGCCTACAGTTGGGTGAAATCATCTAATACAAAGCCTATTTTATAATAAAATATTGATACCTTCCTGTAATTTATTGGTTACTGTACTGAAAGTGATAAACAGAATGGTTTTACGGGTGCAGAATGGTTATAACTGCATCGTTTGTTTGCCCTGGTAGTTGTGTGGCTGACTGGGAGCTGCTTTGCCCAGCATCATGAAAGAGTATTGAGAAGACTGTACTGCACATCATTAGCCCTGGAAAAGATTAAAACCCAAAATTCAAAG